CAGCTCAGACGTGGGATTTCGGAAAGGACATCAAACACGGCCGAGTTGGGATGCGTATCCATTCCATTGAACTTCATGGGCTATCTTGTCCATGCAAAATGAGCAGCAAGAATGGTGCGTGCGAGTAAACGCCACCTACAACTCCAAAGCCTTGCTGGCGCCCAGGGGCCATAGGAACGTTCTTTTTAGGGTTTCACTGTAGGAACGAGCATCCATGAGCATCCATGAGGCGAGCTTCGAACATTGCTAGTCGACATGTGTCTTTCTGTGGGTCTCGAGTGAGCGTGTCATGTATCGGTGGTTGTGTAGAAGGAGTTGCTCCGGGATGCTGCTCCTCCCTGGCAAAGTCGCCTGACGTCGGTCGTGTCTCGCTGTGCTCCGCCGCATTTCTATCATGGCTGGCCCCAGAGCTCGTCCTCCAAGGTCGTCTTAGCAGGGTCTTAGGCCCTGGCCTGGGAAGCCTGACGTAAATGGGGCCCGTGTCAAATGCAAGGTCGATATTCAAGAACGGCCATAGCCGGGGGGCTTGCTGAAGATAGTCATATTTGGCACCGTCCTGTATATCCGTGAACGAGATTGACTGCCGCCACGATGCCGATGCCAGATAGTCTCTGGAGCGCCTTATTGTGTGGACCTGTTTATGTCGAATATTGGTACCAAACTAGAAGCAAGTTGGGTTTTGCTTCCTTTACCAGAGGACTTTATTGCAAAGAGAGTTTGGTATTTCAGGCCGAATCCATGTTGAAGACGGGTTTCTCCGGGATATTTGGCGCCAGACGGGTCTTCGAAGCAATGTTATTGCAAAAGTGCCATCACCTTTTGCAAGGGTCAGTGAGTTTCGGCAAACATTAAGGGCGGCGAGGTGATTTTATGCGTACAACTACGCCATAAGCTTAAGGCTCGGGATATTCAGCGCCACCACGCCAACAGCCAACAGCCGAAATCGTGCAATAGATTGTGCTGGCCAACAAGACCTCAAAATGCTTTTTGACTGGGCAATCTTTGCTACGTCGGGCGGAACTACCCTGAGAGGGAGACGGTAAATCAACCGACAAGGACTGAGGATACATCATTGAACGCTATTGTTGGCGGGTGCGAACCGAGGCAATGCCATGAGGGGCCGTTGATATCAAAACGCGCGCTTCTGCCGTCGCCGCCAAGCAGCTCGTGGCAGCTGTGAAATGGTGCCATGAAAAGGCAGAGGCGATGAAGTGAGGAGGGTCTCAGAGAAACCCCACTACGCCATCGTGTCTGCGGAAAACCTGCAGTGCGAAGACGCCGTACATGGTGGCGCCAGCGCGGATGGTGTCGTGTCCATCACCGCCGACGCATTTCTCCCTTCCAAGGAATGATTGTGTGCAGGGTCGCCGATGTGAAGAACCCAAAATCTGGCTCCAAGTCGCATCAGGAGTGGGAATCTGGATTCACCAAATAGCACTGTTTGCTTTGATGTCGTAGGGATGATGAATGCAATCAGGTCGAACGTGGCTAAATTATCTTGCGCGTTATCCTACAGAGAAACCCCGCGACTCCAAGCCTCGAACCGTGACAAGTCATCTGGCAACCTGATCAGGCCAGCCACAGCCTGTATGAGAGGTGCGAGCTGCGAAGACCTTCAAGTCGGGACCAAAAAGGTCGGCCGGCTTGCTACGAGCACGTCGACGGGCGTCAAATACCGAAGCTGAGAAGGGAGGGCAGCTTGGTGATTGGTGTTCGAATGCAGGGCGCAAGGCGACAGCGGGCGGGGATGGAGACTCAGGGTCCGGCCGAGCATCCGGGACGCGTGGTCGTACAGTATACGGGATGGGGATTCCCAGCCTCAGAAACAGCTAGGTCGGGTTGAGGCTAGATCAGGGGCGTGAAGCTTTTTCTATTGTCGACATGAGTAAAGCACGCACAACACGGAGGCCAAGCGAAGAAGAGGCTCTGGCGGTGCCGGGTGCAGCCGATCGCCAGGCTAGTGAAGCTTGACTGTGCGCATAGAAAATACAACGCAGGCACCAGCAAAAGCAAGGGGAAGGGGCCAGCGGGCTGGTCGGTCAGGTACGAGGACCTCGTTCTGGCTTGGACCATAGCAAAGGCCCCAGCTTCTCGTGTCTTACCTAAGGCACAAATTTCCATTCCAGCCAATGATGAGAAACGATTGTTGATTGCTGCTGCCAAGAGATTGCTTGATTTAAGCCCTGCGATTCCCGGCCCCGGCAGGAACAAGGGGGGCCAGGGGAGCGGGGGGGCAGGGGGAGCAGGGGCCTGGTAGTCTACCGTGTACGAAAGGAAGGGAATGTACGATCCAGGCCCTGAACGGCTGGTCTTCTTATCAGTCGTCGCTCCTGGCGGCGGAATACGAGGGCAGGAAAGGATGGCCCATTGTAGTAGGCAACAACCATAGTTTTCCTTCGAGCGCAATGCTCCTGGCCCCCCCGGTCCATGGCCTGTCCATGCACTAACCCCCACCTGCACCCGCCCTCTCCTGGCTCTGTGCCTGCCTCCTTTTCCCAAAAGCAGCAGTTCAGGCACCCATTTGACGATACCCGTCTTGTTCTCCTGCTCCCCCTTTTGCTGCCGCCTTTCCGCCTTCCGTGAGCCGATTGAGACTTCCCTGAACTCTCTCTCTCTCTCTCTCTTTCTCTCTCCCCACACCCACACAACCATCTTCTTGGTCTCCCGTCGCACCGGCTCGCAGTTATCTGGCTTTTTCGCCGCCCATCCTCCTGACCTCGATCCTGTATTTGTGTCGACCGGTCGTATTTCATCATTAGCTACCTTCATCGCTCCTCATCTTTTGGTTCTCCCATCTCCACGTCCCGTGTTCCACGCCGCGTCGATATTCCCTGATCCTTGACTGCTTATCTAAGGAGGAAAGCCAAGCCCATCAAGTGGACTCGGTCCGTCACCACCCCGTCACATCAACGAGAATAAGCCAACAAACAATCCCATCTGCTACCAGCACGGCCTTTGCGTTCACAGCATTCTGCGCCCTGGACGTCCTTTTCGCCCTTCCTTGCACACAACGTGCCTTGAGCTTCTCTGGGCTCCGCGAGAACAACTCCATTACCACAATTTATCTCGGCAATCTTGCCTTGAATACGACCGTCTCATTTCGGAACATTCAGTTTTCGCCACATCCTGCACCTGCAGCTCATTGACCTTATCAGCAACACGTCCCCAAACCCCAACAACCCTGCCAGCGAGCGAGACGGGCCTCCTCATCTCAGCTTGCTCACGTACCCGTGCTTCTCAGTAGCCCAGCCACATCTCCGTGTCTCCATTTTGCTGCGATCGGCGCGCGCAAAAAAAAAAAAAAATCCCGGCACTCTCCTTTCTCCTCAATACCATCGTCTCGATAGCGTGGCACCAGTCCCAATCGCGTGTCATCGACGTACCCATCCGGTCGCGAACGCTGCGTTAGTGCATCTCCCTGGAGCACTGAAAAAAGAACCTCCAACCCTGGACCAGCCAGCCAACCAGCCAGCCAGTCGCTCTCTTGCAGCAGCCAATCCCTCGCAGCACAGCCCACTTTCTTCTTCTCCCGCGCCGCTGAGGCCCTCCCATCCTGTCATTCGCGCAACCTCGTTCCGCTGTCACGAACCTTCTCCTTCACTCACCTCACCTCTCACTTCCCTCCATTTCCACTCGAGCGCCGTGCACTTTTGACGCCAACGTCTCAAGAGCGCCAGTAGCGGGATTGCTCCTGCCATTTGCTTCCATCCTCACTCGACTGCCCGCCTCTGCATCACCTTCTCACAAGCAAGCCGTATACCGCGCCTTGGCTTGTTCAACCTCCGGGTGCTGCTCCGGTCCGCCCTCCACTCTGGACTTCTTGGCCCGCTGCTTTTGAGACTTCACCCTCCGTCGCCGCCATGTCGTCCTCCCGCCCGTCTTCCCCGGCTCAGGTCCTCCCCTTGACGGAGAAGCCTGCAAGCGCGAGTTACTCATTACACCCGGCCTTCTACATAGGGTACGTCGTTACCGTCGGTGCTGTCGCCTCACATGTGTTGCCCGCTAACCGGTCCCAGCGCCTGGATCTTCTTCTCAAACTCGACGATCCTGTTCAACAAATGGCTTCTTGACACCGCAGGCTTCAGTAGGTTCCCTTGGCTCTGTATGTTGAATCTTCGCTAACCGAGTTGCAGAATATCGTACGTTTCCATGAGCGTTCATCGCCGGATTTTTGTTCACATGCTAACTCTTCGCAGCTGTCATTCTTACTTGCTGGCATCTCGTTTTTGCCACTGTCGCAACACAGATTCTTGCTCGCACGACGACTCTTCTCGACAACCGCCACCAGGTCAAGATGACTGGCCGCACATATCTCCGCGCCGTTGTGCCCATCGGCTTGTTATACTCTGGATCTCTCGTCTGCTCGAACTTGGTCTACATGTATCTCTCCGTCGCCTTCATCCAGATGCTCAAGGCTGGTGCCCCCGTGGCTGTTCTTTTCGCATCCTGGGCTTTTGGCGTCGCCGATCCTGACCTGAACACGCTCTACAACATTCTCTTCATCGTGGCCGGCGTTGCTCTTGCCTCTCTGGGAGAGATTGAGTTTTCAATCGTCGGCTTCATGTTCCAGATTGCAGGCATTGTCTTCGAGGCTGTTCGTCTCGTCATGATCCAAGTCCTGCTGAAGGGTGACGAGTCTGCGCAGAAGATGGATCCTCTGGTCAGCCTTTACTACTACGCTCCCGTCTGCGCTGTCACCAACTTTTTCGTCGCCGCCATTGCCGAGTTCCACCGATTTGAATACGCCGATTTCGAGAAGACCGGCTTCATGATTCTCATCCTCAACGCCAGCGTGGCTTTTGGCCTCAACGTCGCCAGTGTCTTCCTCATCGGCAAGACGTCTTCACTCGTCATGACCCTCACCGGAATTTTGAAGAACATTCTTCTCATTGGCGTTTCCGTTCTCATCTGGAACACCTCTGTTTCCGCCATGCAGTGCTTCGGCTACCTTCTCGCCCTCTTCGGTCTCGTCATTTACTCTACCGGCCTTGACCAACTGAAGACGCACGCTGCCAACACATGGATCTGGGCTCGCAATGCCGCTACGCAAGGGGGCGATGACGGCCGTCTCTCGCCGCTCGTCCGCCGCACGCTTGTCATTGCCGTTGTCGCCTTCGTTTTCGTCGCCCTTGTCATGGGCTACATGTACGGCGGCTCGCGCGACTTCCTCGTAGCTGGTGCTGCCGCAGCCCAAGACGGAGCTGGTGGACAGTAGACGGCAGATCGGAAACAATTTAGACATTTACAAGTGGGGTTCGGATTATGAATGGCAGCAAACCTGCTCGTCCTCGGGCTGGAGCGGGGAGGCGCCTCGTGAATTTTTATATTTGCTTATGAATACGGCAACAGCATGGAGTTTTTCGACGCAGACGTAAGAGTCTGAGTACGGCACGGGGTTCTCTTTCCGGGGCTTTGGCGCTGTTTGGACAGTTGGGTGGTCGGGGGTGTTTTCTGAATAATGTGCAATTGTAATCATGTAGACTTGCCACATGGCAATGGGTTCAAGACGAATGAGGACTGACATCGCTGTTATCATGTTATCTTGCTTCAGAACTGTATGACGTATTACATGAGGTCAAGGAGCTCAAAAGACAGACGAGCAAGGGTAGCTTGGACAAGTGTCATCATAACAATAATTCTACAGCTAGTCCTGATGTTCGTCTTGCCCATAAACCGAGGGGAACTTCGCGTGAGGCCCAAAAACAGCCCCTAAGTAATAAACACACCCAAAGTCCTGCAGACTCGTGAAGACCAAAAATAAAAAAAGAGAAGCCCGACGGACGACTGAATGACTACCGGCTCCGATCCCGCCGGTCACGGTCCCGACGCGGCGTGGGGCTCCTGTCTCTCCGGCTCCGCCTGTCGCGGTCTCGATCCCTGTCACGATCCCTATCGCGGTCGCGGTCACGATCCCGATCGTCCCGGTCCCGGTCCCGGTCTCGATCCCGGTCGCGGCTCCTATCTCGGCGCACGCGGTCCCTATCTCTCGAGCGGCTGGGGCTGCGACTCCGGGCGTCTGTCCCGATCTCGATCCCGGTCTCGGTCTCGGTCTCGGTCCCTGTCGCGATCGTCTCTCTTCACCGGCATATCGTGCGGCCTCTCTCTGTCGCGGCCGGGGGGCACATAGCGGTCAATCTCTTCGAGGTCGCGCTTGCGCTTGGCGTCGGGAGAGCGCATGTCGTCGGCGGCGCTGACGCCGGCGCCCGAGGCGCGCTTGTCGTCGATGCCGGGGATGGGCATGCCCTTCTCGCGGGCCTCGCGCTGGGCGGCAAGGTAAGCCTTGGCCTCCTTCTCGCGCTTGCGCACCTCGTCCATCTTGGTGTGCGACGCGCGGTCGCCGGGCGGGTCCGTGTTGCGGTACGGCGGCGGGTTGTGGCGCGGCGGGGGCGGCGGCGAACGGTCGCGCCGCGGGCTGCGCGAGCGGTATCTATCGCGGCGGGGACGGGAGCGTGAGCGACTCCGTCTGTCGCGGTCGCGGCGGGGGCGGGAGCGGGATCTGTCGCGGCGCGAGCGGGAGCGTGACCTATCGCGGTCTCGACGGTCATAGCGTGCGCGGGAGCGAGAGCGGGTGCGGTCGCGACGGGGACGAGAGCGGGACCGGGACCGGGACCGGGAGCGAGAACGACGCGTGCGGGAGCGGCTTCGTCTGTCGCGGCGGTCGAAGCGGGAGCGGGATCGACTTCTCTCGCGGCGACGGGAACGCGAACGGTCGCGTCTGTCTGTTCTGTCACGGGAGCGAGAACGGTCCCGGCGTCGGCGGTCGTACTCGTGGCGCGAGCGTTGTCTGGATGAATCTTGGCGTCGGGTGTCCCTCTCTCTGTCTCGATCTCTGCCGCCGTCTCTGTCTCTGTCTCTGTCTCTGTCCTTCTCCGTGTCATCACGAGCCACCGTCTTTGACTGGCCTCGGCTCGCCGGTCGCTCGTCCTTGGCGTCTGTGGGCTTAGGCGTAGCAGACTGGCTGGCGTCTCTTCGGGTTTGACCACGGCCGAAGATGCTCTCCGGTCGGACACCATGGCGAACCGCGAGAGCTTTCCTTCTGCAGAGGCTTGATAGCGGAGCTGGTGCCATCCTTC